AACTACCGGCAGCGCTTTACCAGGTGAGTTTTACCCAGACGCTGGGCTCCCTGTTGGAGTGAATAGAGTGCTCTCCCTTAAGCAGGAGCAAAGGCTTGCACCTGTAAGTGTGCTGTGCGCGCGCACGCTGGGACGGAGGCGGCCTGGGCCCCCACTCAGACGAGCTCTGCCTCTGGCGCTGCCTGTCCCTGGGCCAGCCGGTCACATTCTCCAGGCCTGGCTCCTCGTCCCTGGGGTGAGTTGATTGACTTTCTTTCTTTTCAGCTCTGCCTTCTACTTTGATTCTCAGTTAACCGGCCACATGGCATTGGGAGTCGCTCTGCGTGGGCCCCTGGCATTTCTGCTTGTCCTCCAGATGCTCTTGTTGGGCTGTTTGTACAGAGCGCAGCAGGGGGAGATGGAGATGGCCTCTTTCTCCAGTGTGAAGGGGATGCTTGCTTACTGATCAGTGTAATCAAGACACTGTCGCCCTTTGTGGCAAAGGCTGGGTAGGCGAATTTCCAGTGATCCCGCTGCCTTGGCCTTCTGAGCAGCTGAAACTCCGCTCCCCAAGCTCAGCCCCTCCCCCACCACACCACCCACTGTGCGGGCATCCCGTGGCCCAGTTTGTGTGGAGCTTTGGGGATGGGGGCTCAAATGTTCAAACAAATGCTGACTGTCTGGCTACCCCTGTTACTGTGAGTAAAATCCCTTTTGTCACCCAGGAGTCTGTGTCTTCTGCCAGCAGCCAGAAGGCTGGGAGGCTGTCCTGGAAGGAAAGTGGGAGAACCTGGGACGCTTCACGGGTGCTGACACTGGTCAGCTCACTCTGGAGGCCTGGGGACAGCCCTGGCTCAGCTTATGATATGCATGGAAGTTGCTAACGATATTCCACACCACCCACAGTGCTGTTGCATCATTGAGGACCTTCTCTGTGACCTGGCAGCTTTGAAACATTCAATCCCTCAAGGCCCTACAGAAAGAATGACAGATGTAACCAGGCACAGCCACGGAGACACCCCACCCACCCCTTCTACCAATTAACAGATGCTTCCCAGTGTTATTATTCTGGGCCAATGAAGAGAGTTGTATGTTACTATTTCAATAATTAGAACAAAGAGATCATTGGTTACCTTGGTAACCAAGCTCTGTAAGAAAGAAATGCTTACATTTAACATGAAACAGCTCACTTTGCTGTTAGCCAGTTTTTTAGTGGTTCTGGGTAGCTATGGACAACAGCTGGCCAATCTGCCTCCAGATGCTCCTTTTATTTTTGAGGTGGGCTCTCACTTTGTCTCCAGCCTAGAGTGCAGGTGCGATCATGGCTCGCTGCAGCCTCGACCTTCTGGACTCAGTGATCTTCCTGCCTCAGCCTGCCGAATAGCTGGGACTACAGATGCACACCCCGCACCCGGCTAGTTTTCATTATTTTCCTGTTTGCCCAGGCTGGTCTCAATACCCTGGCTACAGGCGATCCCCACACCCTGGCCTTCACCTCCTGAGCAGCTGAAAGTATGGGTGTGAGCCACTGCCCCGGCTCGTCACCATGCACATTTTTTCCAGTTACCTTTCAGTCACCTTTGTCAACTTTAGTAATGCAAAGTCTTTGTCCTTTTTTTTTTTTTTTTTTTGAGACAGGGTGGTGCTCTGTTGCCCAGGCTGAAGGGCAATGTCAATGCATAATCTCGGCTCACTGCAACTTCCACCTTCTGGGTTCAAGTGATTCTCCTGCCTCAGCCTACCGAGTAGCTGGGATTACAGGCACACCCCACCACACCCAGCTAATTTTGTATTTTTAGTGCAGACTGGGTTTCACCATGTTGGCCAGGCTGGTCTTGAACTGCTGACCTCAGGTCATCTGCCCCCCTTAGCCTCCCAAAGCGCTGGGATTACAGATGTGAGCCACCACGCCTGGCCTGTTCTTTTTTTCTTTTCTTTTTTTTTTTTTTGAAGCAGTTTCAAGCTTACAGAAAAGCTGTAAGGAAAGAACTGAGATCTCTCCATGTGCAGGCCTCCATAGACCCCTCACGCACTGCCCATGTCTGAGTGATGGTGTCTTCTATGCACCACACTGGCCGTAGCCTGGTACTGTAGATGAAACTGTCTCCCAGGAGACCTGAAAGCTGCCCAACGTGTGACAGGGGCATGATCCTAAGGGCTTTTGCCATAACCTGTTCAAGGCAGGCAGGCAGGCAGGCTGCTGATCCTGGTGAGCTAACAGCCTGGCCACCATACTGGAAGGTAGATCTAACTCAGGATCATCTTTGGTTTTCACATAAACTTTAAATCAAAAGTGGGAACTTAGCTGAGAGGTGGAGGGGCCCTGGCTGGTGTGGGAGATAGTGGAAGGAGTCACTGTTTTATGGATGCCCTCAAGTCTAAGCCTATTAGTGAGCTCTAGGAGTCTGTAAGATTCCAAAGCCAGATTAACAAGCCATTTCCTGGTGGTGGGAAGTTGAGGTAAGAGGCTGGAGAATGAGGAGCCCTAGGCTGCCTCTCTGAGATGAGCCGGAGTTGCTTGGAAGGTGGATGAGAGCGCAGGTTGAAATCAGCCGGCTTCTACAAAACCAGACCATTCATTCTACTTCTGCGGCCGGTGCGGTCTGCGTCTCGCGCTGGGGAGAGCTGTAGTGGTTAACACGCCACACAGCCCCGTCTGTGCTGTTGGGTCAGCCTTTGCCTTCCTGACACCTCGTTTAGGATCTCAGTGACTAGCTACTATTTACAATAGAAGAACCACACTAAGAGACACGTGCCAACGTGCTTCACCTCAGAGTGTCTTTTTTGGCAAAGAGGTAAGAGTACTGCAGAGTCTTGGATTTAATTCTAACATCTTGCCAAATGGTGGCTTAGAAAATATTTGTTGTTGCATGAGGAAAAACAAATTTCTGTTATGGACAGAATCGTGTCCTTCCAAAATGTATATTTTTTGAAGCTCTAACTCCCAATGTGACTGCATTTGGAGATAGGGCCTTTATGGAGGGAATTCAGGTTAAATGAGGGCATAAGGGCAGGGCTCTAATCCAGTAAGACTGGTGTCTTTCTATGAACAGGAGATACCCAAAGTCTCTCTGTGCCACGTGAGGACACAGCAAGAAGGTGGCCGTCTGCAATCAAAGGAGAGGCCATGCCGGAGACCAGCACCTTGATCTCAGGCTTGCCGCCTCTAGGACTGAGGAAGTGACTGTCTGCGGCCTAAGCCCCCCAGTTCATAGTATTCTCTTGTGGCGTCCCGAGCAGACTAACAAACACACACCCCGAATTAACTGATGGCTTTGCTCTGTTCTGTAAAAGTTGCTCAGAGAGAACTTCTCACTCACTGTTTTACAGTTTCTCCCTCAGTCCCTGGTCTCTCTTCTCACATAATCCCGATTCCAATTGAGAGTTCCCGTTGCAGGCATGGTCATTCACCACAGCGTCTCCTGGCTAAACCAGCCGCGGCCCGTTCGCCTCTCCACTGCCTCCTCCTCGCCAGCCCTCCATAGACATTTCGTTTTTCTGTGCCGGGAACTTTACACTGGGAGCCTGCTCTATCAATTCCATGCACGCTCCCTGCCCCTCCAGACGGGCGGCCAGCAGGGAGTGGCAGGGCACACCTGTGCAGATGGAAGCATGATCACTGTGGTCTCTATGGCCAGCTCCACGGACCCTCATGGGGGGCGGATGGAGAAGGGCCTTACAGCCTGTGCGGGTGGTGTGGATAGGACTCTGTGTCCACAAGGCTGGGGCTCCAGCCTCCCCCTTGGCTCTCAGCCAGGTAAGTTAATTTCCAGCCACCTTCAGGATAAAGTGGGCAGGGCAGGCCACTACAGGCAGGTGTTCAGTGAGCACACAAGCTCCCTGGCTCCATTCTCAAATATTCACCTGAGTATTGTGCTGTCATGGCACATGCTAGCTTATGATGTATCCTTGGTTTGCCTTTTCATGCATTTTCCACGTATGTTCCATTAAGATAGATTTGCCAAGTAAAAGAATACAAGTTTCAAAATGTAACTGTCTTTGCACGATTTTCCAAGTTCCTTGGTTGGAGGGGGTCTGGGCAGGAAACTCCAGCCAAGACAGGTGGGCGTGGGCTTTCTGCCTGCCATGCCTGCCAAACACTCAGGCGGCCATGCCTCCAGCCTCAGCAGTTTTTCCTGCTATCGCAATGAATGTAGTCATATTCCCAAGCTCCCCACCCTTGGGTCCTCATGCTGGAGTCTGAGGCTCTCTGATCCCCGGGAAACAGGAGCGTGTAATCCTGCCCTCATTCAGTGTGGAGGGTCCCTTCCTAACGATCACAAATGCAGTGCATTTCTCACAACCGCTGCTAGACAGAAGGCAACCAGTGCTTCCGTTAAAAGCAAAATGAAGGCCAGAGTGGCGGCTCGCGTCTGTCATCCCAGCACTTTGGGAGGCTGAGGTGGGCAGATCGCTTGAGGTCAGGACGAGGCCAGCCTGGGCAACATGGTGAGATCCTGTCTCTACAAAAAATATAAAAATTAGCTGGGTGTGGTGGTGCGCACCTGTAGTCCCAGCTACACGGGAGGCTCTGGCAGGAGGACAGCTTGAGTCTGGGAGGTTGAGACTGCAGTGAGCCAGGATTGCACCACTGCACTCCAACCTGGGTGACAAAGTAGAATTCTGTCTCAAAAGAAAAAGGACCAATGAAAGAGATTTTAGTCTTGTCTTTTTGAAGAAAAATTCTTGTAACTGAAGGCAACCATAAGTAAAACATCACGCCCTTTCATGCTGCCAGAGAAAAAGGTGGCAGGGGCAGCCATCCAAGACTCCTGGGTTCGAATCTGCAGGGGGCATAGATTGGAAGCTTGTCTTCAGAGACACTGAATATTATTTTCTTGGTGAGAGACTCAGTGTCCTAACAACTAGCTCTGTTCCACTTTCTCCAGTAGCCAGAGACCCTCTGATGAGGATGCCCTCTCCCAAGCAGAAGGCAGCCCTGCCTGGAGCCCCAGAGGCACCGGGCTACATTAGCTCTGCAGACTGGTGAGCTACAGCCCAGGACACAAAAGAAGACACCGTTCAAATTCCATTAAAAGTTTATTGTTTTATTTCAATATTCAGGAAGAGTGTACACTTTCTGGTGAGCTGTGGCCACAGCACGTGCTGTTTGGGTGTGGCCACATACGGATCGCAGAGCCGACCTCAGCTCAGCGACGCAGAGCGCTTCTGCTGAAAAATGTGGAGGTTTGTGTCTGGAGTTTTGTTCTTTGTAACCCTCTCATCATTGAGGCTATATATTAATAGACATTATATTAACCCCGAACGAAACATTCAGAATTAGAATGGGATTAAGAAGACGCGTTTTGGCATCACGCTGACTCCTCATCTTCGTCCCCAGGGAGGGTGATGCCAGCGTGGGGCTCTTTGGAAGGCCTGTCACGGGTGCGCTAAAATCAAAAGGTGGGTCAGTAGGTTAGGGAGGGAAGAGCGAAGGGAGGTGTCAGCAGATGTTAGGAAGGCTGCAGTCAGAAGAGGTCTTCTGTCTCGGTGAGTACTTCGGGAGCAGGTGCACGCCTGTGCCTACTCACTACGACGCGTCTTCCGGGAGGAGGCGGATGAGCCGGTTATCTTCTAGGGGAGGGTTAGTGCGGCCGCTGTGCACTGCCACTGTCAGCACGCCTGGCCAGTGTCTAGGGGCGCCCTCCGTGGCTGCGAGGCTGCCCAGAGGACTCCTACCTTCTGCTCCAAGTGCGCAAGTCTTCCTGGACTCTCCGGCTGTGGGCTCTGCTTCAGAAACGGGTTTGTTCATAGGGGCTGCCCCGGGGCCACCATGCAGGGCAACAGTGGCGTCCAGAGGCCACCTGCTCGACATCTCCATCACCAAATCTCCAGGAAGACCCTGTTTCTGCGTGAGGCCATTGCCCAGCCCACGTTTGCCTCCTTTTTCTCCCTCTGCCACACGCAAATTCAGCCAATTGGGGTGTGTGGGCAGCCGCGGCCTGGGGGCGTGCCCCCCTCTCTGCGCTGCCCCACGTTGGACTCTTAACAGCTGCCCAACCCGCATGTCACATACCAAAAGCTCCCACATGTAGTAAGCCACTCCTCGACTGTCTAATCCTGTTAGGAAAAATGAAGTCTACTTTAGGAGGTGAGAGGAGACAGGAAAAAAAAAAAAGGGAAGCGTGGATGTCAACAGTCCTCTCTGCTGCCCTTGTCCTCTGTCTCTGCAGCTGTGCGCCTCCACGGCAGTGCCCAGCGAAAGCGTGAGGATGCCGCCGCCATGGCGAAAAGAAAGTCCAAGGATGGAGGGTGAGCGTGGAGGGACGCGTGTGCACCTGGCCTGCGGAGCCCCGTGTGCGTCTGCGGGCACGCTGTGGGGAAGGGGTATGAGCCGCACACGGAAAGGGACTGTTTTCATTTTCTCCATGTAGCTGTTGGCCAGAGATCGCCGCAGGCTGCCATGTGCCCGACCGTGCTATGTGCACAGCTCCACAGGCGTTAGGGGAGAGGGCAGCCACTCTAACTAGGTAAGGGGTGCGAGTGGGATTAAGGTTTGAAGGCAGTTATATTAAGAAGCTGAGGGCAGGAGTCGGGAACCAGGTGGGTTTTCAGCGTCTAGCCATGGGTGATCCAGAGCGACTATCTCTTCCTCCCTGAAAAGGAAGAGAGAGGAGTCAGGACGAGAGCCCACGGCATCCTCCCAACCAGCATTCCCCTCTTCTATGGCCCAGGTGGATGGTGAGCCACGGGGCATCTCACTCAGCTGCGTCTGCTGATGGAAATCACACAACAGAAAGTTGGTATTTTCATTCCATCGCTCCCAACCCCCCTCAGCCAATGCTAATTGAATTTTCAGTTCTGTGAGGAAGATTCCCTGGAATCTGAGTCCCAGGTCCCAGGTAGTGGTGCCTGGCATGACACCCTTCTGTGTAACAACGCTGCGCTTCTGTGGGTGAAGGTGCAGCCGCTGCGTTGCTTTGAATGAACACTTTCTCTCTCTCAGCTAGAGTCCAGAGCCACTGAGGGGAGCTGCCAGTGACAACAGGAGCAACTTCTTTTTCCGAGAGACCAGAGCACACCCCTCACTACAGGCACAGAAAAGAGCGAAGCCACATGTCCATCCCTGGAGATGACCCTCCTGTGTGCCATCCCATCCGCCACACCAGACAAATGAAATGCACAGGGAGGTTTGTCTGCAAACTTTGACTTGAAGGGATCTTAAAACCATGCACTTACATGTTTTGGGGACAAATAGTTGGCAGCCAACTGAGATGGCACACAGGTGTACTGTGGCCCACGTGCAGAGGCAGCCAGGCACGGCATCCCTCTAGAAAGAGGCGCGTCGGTCACTCAAAACGCCGTTTAGATTGACGATGCAGAACAGAACTGCACTTTTTTTGCATTCAAATTTTTATTCAAATTTTAGTCTCTCTCCTTGGGTTCCCCTTTTTTATGAAATGATCAATTTTGACTAAGAGCCCCCAGAAAGCAAGAGAGAAGAAATATGCTCTTTACTGTGGCTGATCGGTAAGGAGCTGACACTGTCCTCATGTAATTCTACATCGTCCCCCAGAGCGGACCCCAAGAGTCCTTACAAATAACACAGCTAACAGGCCAGGGTGACAGTGCTGACTTCTCAGGGGGGTTTCCAAGTACATACATAGCTTTATAAATAAGCCCCTATGTTGCGGTGAAACAACTAACTTAAGGGATTTTGTTTTCACAAGTGAAAATGTTTCGAAATTCTAGCCTGGGGGAGCCGCCTTAGGAACCATCTAGTGAGACTTCCCTCCCAAGACAGAAGGCTTTCTCACAGATGGCAGACGCTGGCCCTCGGGAGCCAGCCTCTCCCTCAGGAGTGTGGGTTTTTCCTGTGCGATCCTGGCTTAACTTGAACATCACTGGCGTTGGAGCTGCCCTCTGGAGTAGCCCAGATGTCAGCACTCACCTCAACTTTTGCTGCATTTCCAAGAGGTCAGCCTTAGGACTTCCTGGAAAGTGGTAGAACCACTGTCCTATGAAGCCAAGCGATTCCCTGCTGAAACGAGTGGGTTCCCCACAGCCTCCGGCAAGGTACACTGAGATACCATCTTAACTTGCTTGATGGCCCTTTTGACACTGAAAACGGTGGGCGCATTGGTTTTACTTTTTACCAGTGGACCTACAATTAGCTGAGCACTGACCATGCAGGAAACTCGTTTTTCCTGTTTTCTCTTGTGCTCACCCCCCACTCCCAATCGGCATTCCTGTCATCCTCTCTTTACAGCCCAGGAGCCAAAGCTTAGCCAGCCCCAGGGAGCCAGGATTAGAACCTGGCGTGGATGCAGCAGTCACGCTTCCCTCTATTATGTCTTGCCACTTGGAGTCGCCTGATCTAGGCATCTGATCCGCCCTGGGCTCAGGTCAGGATAAGGCTGAACTCACAAGGTGAAGGCTGGACTGAACTCCTCTCAGGAAAGAACAGAGCCTACTGCAAAAGACAGATACTCTTGTCTCTGCTTTGATGCCTCACAGCACAGAAACACTATAGGGGGGAAAACGTTCACATGTGTGTACGTGGCAATTAACACGCATAGAACGAGGAGGCTTCCTTGATGTTCTGATGTGGTTCCCGAGTGATGGGGGGACAGGCATCGTGTTTCTACCCAGTCCCCACCAACAGCGCTCGGCTTCCAGATTTGAGTCTTTCCTCTCACTGCTGATTTCCAGCAGCACCAGAAAGAACAGGAACGCAAGACGGAAAATGGCGGTACGTGCCGTGGGGTTGTGCCCTCTCCACCCGCCTGCCTCCAAAGCCCCCATCTCCGCGGGGGCTGATTTACTCGCCGACTGGAGCTGCTTCAAGTCAGCTCATTCAGTCATGCGGCTACAGTAGGCCAGGTTTGAACTTTTATGCCGTAAAACTTAATTACAGCCGTATGATTTGAAATTTGCTTTAATTTGCTACGTGGAAGCTTCCCTTGAACTCTACAGAAATTAAATAATTTTTAAAAGCCGCTTACCAAAAACTTCAGGGAAAATATGGAGCGTTAAGTAAACACATGGGTGGAGCCTGGTGATATCTGCACACAGCAAACGCGCGGACCTTCATGCAGCGTTCCGTTCCCCAGGGGTTCTTGGTAAGCTCTGGCCTGCAAGCACCTTCGAGTGGCTGCTTTAAGCCTTGCACAGATGGCCACGGAGCAGAGCATTTGCTGAATGGGGCCCCTCACTCACCTGGGCCTCCCGGCAACTCTGAGCCACCACTTAACAGCCTGTCCTGGGTGTTCTAACAGTCCTCAAGCTGGTAGCGGAGTAGTGACTTACCTAGATGGGATGAATCCCTATTTCCCAGGTGAGCACGGTGCCTGCAAAATCATCACAGCTGCCAACACCTAGTTCACCCTCGGGCCTTCTGACTCAGTCCCAGACAGGGGTCTGCGCGGGCGTCCCAGGCGATTCAGGAGCAGCTGACCTGGCCAGGTGGGGCCGGGTCAGACCCTGCTCCCCCGGGAGCCTCGTCTCCGCCCTCTTGTGGCACATCCCAGAGCTGCGGCAATGAGCCGCATGATGGCCACGAGACTGGGGTGTCTGGAGAATTGATTTTCTTACTCAGAATTTGCGTTGAGGAGGGATCCTGCCTACCACTGTATCTGACATAAAGCATGTAAGCAGCTCAGTGACACACCGCTCCACATAGTGAAAGCTTTTCCTAAGACCGGCTGTCCTGAGAGCAGGGGCTGTGCCCACCTCGCCTGCCTGTTGCCCCCGGAACCTCCCAGAATCGAGGCTCACAGCAGCCGTGCTGCCCTCACTGAGGACGGGGACTGAGGAACGTGTCTGTGCCCACGTGGATCCCAGCTGCGGGGCAGAGCCAGCCACAGGCCCAGACTCAGCAAATTCATGGAGTCAAAGGTCAGGTGCCAGAATGCATGAGTGTGTCCCACACAAGAAAGACCCCTCCTCTCAGCACCCTGTGGGGGCCCCCAGAGGCCTGGTTCTCTTCTGAGATGAAAATGCAAACGAAGGGGCCTGGGGGTTCCCTTCGGGCCCTGCCTGGAGCTTCCCGTGCCTCTCTTTTCGCTTCATGAGAACAGCTTTCTAAGACTGAAGGGTTTGTGGGTGACGTTTAACAATAATAACATGACTGCATATCTGAGGAACCCGTGTTTGTCACCACCTTCTACTTTCACAGTGATTCTGTGAGCTGAGTGGGCGTGTTAATTCCATTTTACAGATGAGAAAACCAAGTCTCAGAGGCGGCTGACAGCAGACCTGGCCTTCGTTCTGGGTATGGTGGCTCCAGGTCCTCATAAGCCGATGGGACACTCCCCACTCCCTGCCGTCTCCTGGGCGTCCCCTCCCGTGGCTCTAGGCATCTCCCCTGACACCTGCATCTGCTTGGCTCCTGCTTGCTCCTGAGGGCTCCAAGCCCTGGGCAAGGGGAAGCTGTAGTCCAGCTGGGCCCCGGCCCTGTCCCAGAGTCAAGGTCGGCCGCCTGCTCTGGCTCCTGAACCGGCCCAGGGGCAGCCCTTCCTCAAGCACCTGCAGCTCCACATGCATCTTGGGGAAAGCCTGTGTGCAAATGCGGTGGGCACTGCCACCTGCACCCCGGCACGCCTGCTGGGACAGAGAATGCCCAGGGCGTGGTGCGGCGCGGCTGAGTCAGAGACACCACCACCCTTGTGCTCAGCTCAGCTGGCGTTCGTTGCTGGGACCCCTCAGTCCCTGCTCAGTGACGCTGAGCAGAGGGTATCTTACCAGCTTAAAAATTCTGGAAAGCGTGCCCTGGGCATCGACTCCCTTGAATCCCTTGTGAGCCGATTTATAGTCGGACGCTCTGCCTCCGTAGCCAAATCCTGGTTTCTGCCCTTCGGCCCCCTGCAAAGAAAGACCACAGAGCTCAGCCTCTACCCCAGGTGCAAGGCAGTCTGCTTGAGCCACTGAGAGCTGCCACGAGGGCCCCGGGGAAGGGCCCAGGCCCCGGACTGGGCTGGTGAGTGGTTCAGGAGCCACAGGCCAGCATTGAGCTGGGGGGTGGGGCGGGAGAGGCGGCTCCCCCGGACCTATTAGGGTGTTGGCCGCAGAGAGAGGAGGGCTGTGGTTTGGGCGGAGGCTCTCTCGTGGCTCTCTCACATGTGGCTCCCACACACATATTTTAAGGATCTACATCGTTTAGGGAACAGTTGCTTACCTTTGCGCTGTGGGGTGGTCAAGAGAAGATTAGCAAACATCAAGCAAATCAAGGTAAGGAGGCTCCTGCCTACCCATGTTTGGAGGACTCGCACCTGGGGGCTGGGCCAGGTGTGGGGGTCCGTCCCAGAGGCCCCTGGAGGGCCTGGGGCCTTTCCTCGGGGCTCCTCGCCGATAAGATTTGCACAGACTGGATTCTGGTCACATGGGCCCTGCGGCTCTAGGATCTATCTGGGGGATCAGGAATCCCTGGCCTTAGTAAAATGTGGAGGCTCATATCTTTTCTAAAGTTTAGAGACAAAATCCTGAGCTCTCTCCCAGGTGTGGGCAGGAATCAGCCTCCCTGGGCCATGGCTTGGACTGGGAGCAAGGCCCTTGACAGGAGCCTGGAGCTGCTGAGCCGGACAGAGGGAGGAGGCAGGATAGAGGGAGGAGGCAGGCCAGAGGGAGGAGGCAGGCCAGAGGGAGGAGGCAGGCCAGAGGGAGGAGGCAGGACAGAGGGAGGAGGCAGGACAGAGGGAGGAGGCAGGCCTGGCTGGCACGGGGCGTGGCGATGGGGGTGCAGCATCTCAGCTCCCCAGCCTCCCAGTCTCCTAGCACCTTTCCCGCTCCTCCTGCTGTGTGACCTTGGGCAGGGGCAGGAACCTCTCTGAGCTTCAGTTTCCTCATCTGTACAACAAGGTTGTGTGAGAACACGATGAAGAGCACATGGCGATGTCACTCCCCAGGTGGGGGCTGCCAGCTCTGGACTTTGGTGCCCCCTGTGGTTTATGGACGAGCAGGCCGCCCCGCCCTAGCCTCGTCAGCCCCAGCAGCCCCTCTGGCTTCCTCATGGGCCATGTGACCGAGGGGCTTCCTGACACACAGGGCGTGAGTGCTCCTGGACCAGCCCCTTCCTACTGTGCTGTCTTCTCAAGTGGGAAGTCCACCGCTCGCTGTGGGTCTGGGCGCAGGGGATGTTAGCCACTGGGGCGATGTGTCCTCCCGTGGTGGCTGTGCTGTCTGTGGGAAGGCTGACCATGCTGTTGGCTTTTCAGGGTGGGATCTCAGGTGGCCTCGTGAAGCTACTCAGTGGTCAGGGTCCCAGACTCACTCTGTGTTTTGCCAACAAGACGTGGGAGCCTGTCCTAGAGCCGGCTCCTGAAGACTTCGCGGAAGCCAAACCAAACCATCTCCCCTGCACCAGCCTGTAGCCTGTTTCCATGTCATTAAAGTGTTTCAGGACAGGGATGACCGCGACCAACCTAGCCCACGTCTAGTTCCGAGGGCTCAAGGCTTCCAGAGCACCCGGCTGCACCCCAAGCCTCTCCTGGGTGCCTCCTGCTGTACCAGCTACTTCCAGTTTCCGTTTCATTCAACCTGTGCTTGGGAGCGAGTATGGCCACTCAGAACGCAGGCAGCTGCCTCTGTGTGAACGGTTGATTCAGGGGCTACCCCGTGAAGTGAGGGACAGGGGATGTGTGGCAAGAAGGTCTAAGCACCACGCATGTGGGGACAGCCAGCCTCGCCTTTGCGCCCCGGAGGTTTCCAGGGTCGTGCGCACTCCCTGATGGCGGGGGGCGTGGGAGGCCAGGCTGGTGGTCCCAGCCCCATGGCAGAACGCCACTTCCCCTGCAAACGCTCTTTCTGTCTCACTCTACTGCTTTTCTCCAGAAATAGTTTTTGAGAACTGAATCTGGGGACTGACTTTCAGATTAAGAATCTGCTTGGCCTTTCCTCCTTTCAAATCCTTGGTCACGTTTATCTTTGGGCAACCTAGAATGTACCAGGATACACACAACACAGTTTAGAAAGAGAAAGTGGGGCTTTCCGGAACTCCAGACAAGGAGAGGGTCCTGCAGCTCTGGGGACCGCCAAGCAGACAGAAGGCAGAGAAGGGTTTTGCTTTGGAAAAAAGAAAAATTCAAGAAACATTAGTAGGACCCAAAAAGGAGACATGCAGAGAGGAATGCAGGGTGTTTCTCGTTAGCTGGGGGGCGGAGCGGCGGGCATGCGGTCCCCAGCGCTCCACATTCAGGGAGGATTCTGCGTGCTCCCCAAAGTCCACGCCTAGAAAATTAAGAGCAGATAAAGCGGTGGCTAAAGTAAGATTTCTGGGCCAGAAATGAATTTCATTCTTCAGTGTCATCTGTCTCCTGCTGGCACAGAGAATAAACAATTAATTGGCTTTGAGTCCTGGCCCATGTACATTTCTACGTGACTGCCATCGTTTGGAAAATTCGTTAGGTCAGAAAACGCAAGTCTAATATGCATTAATATGAAACATTTCAGGAAACATCTTAGCTCATAATTCAGCGTAATAATGTGGGACTAATACGGGGTCCGCATGGAAACTTTCTCCACCCTTCTCTCAAGTGCTCCTTCCCTTCCTCCCTCTTTCCCACTGTCTTTCTCTCTTCTGTTCCTGTTCTTTCTCCTTGTTGTCTTTTAAAGTGTATTCGTTCATTTATATGATGCTTATTAATTAAGCAGTAAGTGTAGGTGGGCTCCGTTCTAGAGAATAAGGGGATTACAGTTTCGGAGACAGACAATCTTTCTGCAGTATGTTGGCTATTTCTCCATTTTATTCTAAAATTAACTTTTATACAGTAAGAATCAGATCTGGTATTTGCTAGTAACTAAAGTCTATAAGTTTGGTTTGAATATAATGATTGGCATTTTAATTTGGCTCAGACACCAAATTTGTTCACTAGAAAGTTCAGATTGGGCCGGGTGTGGTGGCTCACACCTGTAATCCCAGCACTTTGGGAGGCCGAGTTACATGGGTCATGAGGTCAGGAGTTCAAGACCAGCCTGGCCAAGGTGGCGAAACTCTGTCTCTACTAAAAATACAAAAAAATTAGCCAGTCATGGTGGCGCGCACCTGTCATCCCAGCTACTCATGAGGCTGAGGCAGAGAATTGATTGAACCCAGGAGGTGGGGGTTGCAGTGAGCCGAGATCATGCCACTGCACTCCAGCCTGGGTGACAGAGCAAGACTCCATCTCAAAAAAAGAAAGCTCAAATTGCCCATTTTAAACCCTCTTGAAAGTTTGCTTTGAGTATTAGCCTAATATTCCGAAGGAAGATTTTCTGGATGGCTGAGGGCTACGTTTTAATTATTAGTAAACCACATACAAAACCAAAATCTTTGGATTAATGAGGTTACTATAAATTGAGCAACTCTGTTTAGCGTCTTTTCTGTTTGTTAGCAGAATGATTTTTCCGAAGCAGATGTCAGCCCCTGGGTTACTGAGCTGGGCCAGCCAGTCCCACGTCCACACTCAGGTTCCCGGGGCTTATTTTCGCATTGGTTGTGTTGGAAGCAAGTTAAACATTTTCTGGGATGGATGTGGTGTTGCTGCCTCCCTGTGAGGGAGACCAGTCACATCTGCTGGGAGCCCTTTGGGAGAAGAGGGTCTGGCCTTGCAGGGCTGGGTCCCAGGCACAGAAGCAAGAGATCAGACCTGCCAGGAGGGAAGAGCCTGTGTCGTGTCACCAGCGAAAGAGCAGGCTGCCCGGTCACAGCTGTGGGCAGAGAGGTCTTGAGGGGAAGGAAGGGGGGCGGGGAAGCAACTGAAACAGAGCAGGACACAAAAGTCGCAGGGATGTGAGGCCCGGGAGGAGGAGGAAGCCAACGGAAGTGCGCTCGTCACCTACCCAGCTAAATCTGCTCAGGGACAGTCCTCTCCCCTGCATGAGGAAGACAAAGAAATAATGACATGGTGGTCAGTGGAGGGAAGGTCCTTTCAATTAACAGGAAACACAATCAAAGCACTGCGGAGCCGAGGTGGCAAAAACAGGTTCCATGGGAGCTTCAAGGGGGCCGTGTGGCTGCGGGAGGGTGGGGGAGGGTGCCATGGATCTGCTAGCCTGTTCTCCTTGGGAGCTGCCTGGTAACAGGCTTTGGGATGAACTCAGGTAGCTCAGAGTCTAAAACTCTCTCTTTGGTACATTATGGGACTTTAGGGAAGGTCTATTAGTAAAGTGATGAATCGAAGCATTCCAGGGTCTTACCTTTCCCTGCGATGGGGGTGGCGTGCGAGGTGTCACCTGGAAAGACACAGAGAACCGTGGGCTGCACTGGGAGCCCTGTGCCGCTGCTGTGCGTGTCCTAACGGGCTCCTGCCTGCTGGGGGTGGCTATCGCATCTGTCAGCTGTCAGAAGCACCTGGGTGCTCAGCCCCCCATTTCTGTCCTAGCTGGTCAAGGAGTAGAGACCTCAGACTGGAAATATTCGAGATGACACAAATCCTACAGAACACTCAGAAAGTTTCAGAGAACGGAAATCAGCTCCCAAAGCTCCATAGCTGGGGACTGGGCCCATCTTGGGACATGCTAATGGCACTCGACCACTGCACATGGATGGAAGTGGGGAACTTGGCTTCACCGTGAGCCCCCTCAGGGGCTGGAAGTAGCGGGTCCTCTGATACTCAGAGCTTCCAAGGGGATTCCCCCAGCTCTGTAGCTCCTAGACTCACTCATCAAAATCCCACCATGAAATTCTGCTACACCGAGATCCTAGAATAAGAAGTCTGAGGTTTTGTTCTTGTTTTTAATAGATGTCATTTTGCATGGCACTTTAAGGTTTACAGGAAAACTGCAGAAATGACAGCCTCCACATGCCCCGCAGTTTCCCTCAGTGGCAGCACTGCCTGCGGGCGCTCTCGGTGCTGTGCATTCTGTGGGTCTGGACAAGCGTGTGCGCTCCGGGCACCACTGCAGCCTCCGCAGAGCAGTGCCACTGTCCCCAATGCCCTGCGCTTCCTCTGCTGCCCCTCCCGTCCCAGCCCATGGCGAGTGCTCTCTTTCTGTGCTCTGTACGTGTTCTGAGGCTAGGCATTACATCATCGTCTAATCTCAAGAGCAGTGAGTTCTCTGGAGAACGCTCAGTGTGCTCCGTGGCAGACACAGTCTGGAAGCGCTGTTTGGAACTCGGGATCGGGTGTGAGGGGTGAGTTCCCTGGCTGGCCTCACCCTGATGAGGGTCCCAGTGCCACCCACGAATGTAGAGACGTCCTGTGTGGGTGACAGCAGCGGCCAACACCCCTCCTCCCCTCCAGTTTCCGCCTCTTCCCACAGATGGTCACTTACAATGTTCTTGAAGAAGTGGACTACGGGGTTTTCACCTTGGGTCCGGCCGTGTGACTTCTGAGGCAGGGAGCCGTAGTGGGCAGTTCTCACCGCGTGGTGTGAGTCCTGAAAGACAGAGGCGCGGTGAGCTCAGGTCAAGTCCGGAGTCCCTGCGGTTTGTCCTCCTCGGGGAAGCTGGACCTCTGCTCCTTTGTGATCTGGGGTTTTTAAGGCTTTCTACTAGGAAGCCACAGATGAGCCACGAGGCACATCCAGGGCAGGTACGGGCGGCGGCGGGGGTTTGGCTGTGCAGCTTGCTGGGAAGAGATTTCTATCACTGATTCAGTGTCTGGCTCTCCTGAAGGTGTGCAGGCAAATAGAGGGGAAGTGAGGGTAGTTCAAGAGGGATTCCAGCTGAGATAGGGTCAGGTTGGGCAAAGCACTGAGAAAAATACCATGCACCCCCAGGTTTCCGGGTTGAATACAGGAGAATGCTTGGGAAATACACACAGAAAAATGCACAGCAGCACGAGGCAGGCCGCTCACTGGCTCTGACGCGGCTGCAGGACATGAGCTGGCCACTTCTCAAAGTCAGGCCACCGGCCTGATTCAGGACAATCATGTCCACATCTCAAAGCAAAGGGGAAGAATGGCTGGGCATGAGTGCCCGGGGCCGACGGGTCCACAGAACCAGAACATTCTAGGCCTTCTAGGTCAGGACGGATTGCACAGAAGACACTGGGAAGGCGCTGTGAGCTAACCTCTCACAGGGGACAGGGGACGCAGGGACAGAGGGAACGCCGTGGCTTTAGCAGACTTCAGGCACTGTCTGCTCGGCTCTCGGCTCAACTGAAAAGGCCCGTCAGCGGTGCACACGCATCGGGCAAGAGGGCCGAACACCAGTTCTTAGGAAAGCAAAGGAGAGGGGCTCAGGAGGAGCTTGCAAGGCGGATTTTGTCCATGTCCCCACCACTCTGTCACTGCTGCTCCCAGATCTGACTTGTTCAGAAACACCCGGCATGTGAGGAACCCACACCTCAGGCAGGAGCGGTTGTTGGGAGGCCAAAGGAGATCTGGCCCCGGCATTCCGGCGCCCCGTCGGCACAGAAGGCGGTTCAAGCAAATCAGTTAAATGCACCGAAGTCCCCTGAAGCATTTCCCTCCAGTTGCTCGGCTCTGTGCACCTTGACTGGGAGGACCCCTTGTTCAGAAGATGGCTTTGCCACCCAGTGGTGGGATTCGCTGGGTGACAGCTGCATGGGCAGCCTCAGAGGACAAGGTCTGCTGAGCATGCGGCGCTTTGCCCCGCACCAGCCTGGCTCACCTCTGAGGCTTAGCCCGGACGGAGCTGTCCCTGGGCTCTTTCCTCTCCCTCTTTCCCTACGCCATCCTCTTCAAGGCAGCAGTGCCCAACCTCTCTGGCACCAGGAGGGGTTTTGTGGAAGACAGTTTTTCCACGGATGGGGGTGGGGGGACCTCAGATCACCAGGCATGAGACTCTCATCAGGACCCCTGAACATGCTGTTCCGCTGGGGTTTGCCCTCCTAGGTGAATCTGGTGCAGCGGCTGACCTGGCAGGAGGCGGAGCTCAGGAGACGATGCTCTCTGGCCCTCAGCTCACCGCCCGCTGTGCGGCCCGCTTCCTAACGGGCCACAGAACAGTACCGCTCAATGGCCGGGGGGTTTGGGACCCCTGCTTTAAACATGTCTCGCCCTCACCCCCAGACTACTAACCTAAGTAAAAACAGCTCCCCAGCTGCCCGAGAGGCTCCCTGCCCTGCCCACCCTTCAGGGCCTACACCCTTTGTCCCTGGGTCCTAACATGGCAAGGCTTCCTACCCACCTTCCCAGGCTTCATCACCCAGAGCAGAGCAAGCTTTGTGAACAGAGGCAATGCGGACGCCCCTCCGCTTCAAGGGTCCTGTGGGCCGCCTCGCCTGCAGCAGGAGCCCTGTTATAACACGCTGTGCACTTCTGAGGGCCCGTTGCGCTGGCTGCAGCCCTGCCAGGAGCCAGAGGCCGGCCTTAGCTCTCCTCCAGCCTGCCCTGGGCCGCGCCCCCATACCCTGGCCCCGTCGATCTCCCATGTGGATGGGCTGCGCCTCCCCTGCCCTAGGCCTTGCACAAGGTCCTTTCTGTCTGCAAAGCCCGTCCTTCTGCCATCGTTCTGGAACCTTGCTGGGCCCAGGGCAAAGGCATCTCCCGTGCGTGGGGCCTGCTCAGCACCACGAGCTCTGTCTTCTGCACCCGGTGACTCGTGGCCTCCCCCGCGACAGAGTTGCGGGCACAGCAGGGCGTAACCACGAGCTGCTTGTCCCTCTCCTGCACTGGGCCTGGTTACTTTCCAACTAAATGCCAGCGGCCAGGCGTGCTCCACATTCTGAAAATATCACGAAAATGAAGCAGGCAAAATTCCTGCCTGAGAGGTTCTGAACGCATGAGGAATGAAAGAAGGATTCCATTTTGGCCGAGTGCAGTGGTTTATGCCTGTAATCCTTGCACTTTGGAAGGCCAAGGCGGGTGGATTACCTGAAGTCAGGAGTTTGAGACCAGCCTGGGCAACATGGTGAAACCCCATTTCTACTAAAATACAAAAAATTATCTGGGTGTGGTGGTGGGCACCTGTAGTCCCAGCTTCTGGAGGCTGAGGCAGGAGAATTGTTTGAACCTGTAGGGTGGAGGTTGCAGTGAGCCAAGACTGTGCCGCTGCACCCTAGCCTGGGCGACAGAGCAAGACTTCATCTCCAAAAAAAAGAGAAGGATCCTATTTTATCCCTTGAATCTCTTAGTAATCAGCACTCCATGTTTTACCAGTTAGTCGTGTTTTTCCTGTTTTGTGCCCTCGTTGTTAACGATTCTTCTCCCTATGAGACTGTCAACCTCTCTCAGGCACAGAGCGCAGCAGGTACTCATCCCAGACTCTCCGCAGAAGCCATGGCGCTCTGCATGTGGCCAGCGCTCTGTGGCGGGTGCCCATGTGTTTACTGACACCTCCACCTTCTCATGCACAGAGGAGTGAAGTTTGCCTGCTCAGTTTCCTCCCAGCAGGTGCTGTGGGCCTTTCAGCTTGAGGATGTCAGAAGGGCTGGGGACGCTGCGGTCCTAGTAGAAATCTCTGATTCTTTGTTTTCCAGCTCAGTCCCTCTGTGAATGCTGCAAGACCCCAAGTAATTCTCTGATGCTCCGTGTGTTGTGTAATCTTGTATTGAATACTGCTCTGTGTTGAGTCAGGGGTTGTAACTGGTCACCGCTAACCAGCCTTGTACACTCTTCTCCTCCATAGGAGAGGAAGCATAAAATTATGAATCAAAAAACAAAATGGGAGAGACAGGAACCTGTTTAAACTTTAAGATGCACATCTGCAAGCGCTATGTCTCCCAGATGAAGTCACTTATCAGCTCTGAGGCCAATGGCCTGAAATCATTGAAACAGCTCACGGTCTAGTCCAGGCCGCTTTGCCCTTGGTGTTTGGGTAGTGTTTCTCTAGATGCTGAACTTTGGATTTTGAGTCACAGAAACATCAGTGGCCTTTAAGGCACTTATCCTGTGATTAAAGTAGAAAAATACCTTAAACTTTACACTGAGGTTTTTAAAGAAATGAACATTCAGTGACTCTATGCAGATCTCATAGCATCAGAACTTACTATGTTGTCAGAGATTCAATGGAGCATTACATAGATACTGGTTCACATGCAAATTATGAATACCTGCTTTGAATGCTAAAAGACAAATGATACATTTTTGTAAGTGATGGTTATAATGAATTTATTGGTCACTACACTGGTGAGGAAAAGGTAGTTTAAGTCTTTTAAGGTACACATGATGCTGGCCAGTTTCACTGGAGCCCTTGGAGCTCTGATCAGGGGTCAGAAATGCCTGTGAGGAAGGCAGCTTGTTTATCGGTGGTCCGCACACAGAGCTAAGAAGGCAGTGAGCATCAGCTGTTGAATTAACATGTAGGCTGTTGAGTTCACTTTTAATACAGAACCGACACTGATCTTCAGTGAATGGAATAATTGTCATGGGATCATACACATTTTTTGGTTATAGATGTATTGAAGAGTGACTGAACTAGGATTTTGACTTCGGCTTTTTTGCCATAAATCATCAATTGCACAGATAATTTGAGGAATCTTAGTTACAGCTGTGTTGTTATACCATAGTTGTAATGACCTATTACTGAAAGTACATTTAGTCAATTACATATCTACATACAGGTGATGAACAATTTAAAAACAACATGAAAATTAGTATGTATAATAGCATCAGGGAAACAAAATATTAGGAATAAATCTAACAAAAATGTACAGAATTTTAATGCTAACACTAGAAAATGCTTGTGGAAGAAATCAAAAAGAACTTAAATAAACAGAGAGACATATTGTGTTCACGGATTAGATGACTCAACGTGGTAAAACTGTTGATTCTTTCCCCAAATTGATTTACAGGTTTAATGCAATTCCAATCCAAATTCCAGGAAGATTTTGTTTAGATATAGGCAGGTGGATTCCAGAACTGTATGGAAGTCCAAGGGAGCAAAAATAACCACACAGTTGTGAAAAGGAAACAGAAACTGAGAGACGTCACATTACCTGGTTCTAAGATTTGCTATGTAGCTATGGCAACCACGGACGCCTGGAGTTAGGGGAGGGACAGGCACAGAGATAATGGGACAGAATGGAGCCCAGAGATAGACTCACCAAACCTGACCAGCCGATCCAATGGAAAAAACTGTCTTCTCAGCAAACGGCATTGAAACAATTGAACATTCATATGTGAGAAAAACAAGAAACAACAACGAGAACCGCTTTAACCCCAGTCCACACCTGACACAAGAATTAACTCTAAAGAGGTCATAGATCTTCATCTGTGATGTAAAACTATGAGGTTTTAGAAGAAGCCATGGGAGAAAAATCCTCATGACCTATGAGTAGACATGTCCTTAGTCCTGCCACTGAAACATCATCTATAAAAGGAAAAATGGATACACTGGACCTCATCAAAGTTTAAAAATGCTTGTTCCACAAAAGACACCATCAAGAGAATAAAAAGACAAGCTACAGACAGGGAGAAAATATTTGTGGATGACATATCTGACAAAGGACTCTCAAGACTCAACCAGAAGA